GAAGAATCAGATTCCATTACGTCAACGATTTGAATATGACCTGTGTCTATCAAATTCTCTCGGATATCTTCGTCATCATTATATTCAATATCTACACTTGAGGACTGATTCAAAGAATCAGTTTCTGAATCAGATCGTGAAAAGTATGACTCAAATGTATTTGATTCTAGTTTCTGATGTTGCCCTTCGTCTGTATGTTGAACTGTATCTGCATTAGAACTTACAAACTAATCCATAGAAGTAAAGATATCTGGATAATAGATAGTGTCTCCATTTACACAATTTATACTTCCATGGACAACGTTACAAATTTCACACAGACAGATTACGGACTGATTCCTCGATTTCAGAATCAGTTTCTAATGGAACAATCCTATTCAGTAGGAATTTAAATAAGATCAATGTGTTTTTCTTTAATATTTAAAGTGAGAAAGGATATGTTGAACAAAATCCCAACACAAAATCAGAATATGTATTACTGTCATAGAATGCCTGACAATATCACTTCGACATTTATAAAAAGGGACAACCACACTTCGAGATATAAGTTAATAATTTGCAGTGTAAAATAGCATGTAAAGGACAAAAATTGTATGGTTATATGTACCACATATGAAGGCATATGACATGCTGAGAGCATGGTATTTCTTAATAAGATTGTATAATGATATGAGGAATTTGGCACTCCCTGATTTAAATTTGAGGAATAAATACACAAAACAAAAAGAAATGCAATTGGAAAACACACTTCCCTTTCATCAGAGACATATATATGTATCTACTTTCATCAATCTACATTGACATTGGACTCCTTGTAACACATGAATTAACACAACAAGAATAACGATCTGCATACAAGGTTAGTATCATACAATATAGTAATGTCATTGTGTGTTTCTCGATTTTTGGTTAAAAAAAAAAACAGTATTAAAAACCAGTACTAATTCCAATTTTTATTGTTAATTTTTTCGACCTCCTACCCTATCCTTTTTCATTATTTTTTCTTTTTTATCAACCTTCTACCCTTCCTTTTTAAGAAGAATCTCGTAAACCAACGAATAACAAATTTGCCTTAGTTTGTGTACAAACAATTGATACAGTTGCTTTGAAAAAATTTCAGTTGTGATAATATTTATAGAAAACAAAAAATTTGAATGTTTTAGGTTTAAAATAATCATGACTTTTGTTCAACTGTGTCATATTAAGGTGCTAAGTTACAAAGAAATTTACATAATTGATGATTTTTTTTTTGTATCTGTTGGTAATAAGTGCTTTGTTGTCTTCCATTCGTTTTTGATGTGTTTTGTCATTTGATTTTGCCATGTGATTAAGGACTTTCCGATTTGATATTCCTCTGAGTTCAGTATTTTTGTGATTTTACTTTTTGGTATCAGTTGTATGTAATAAGTCTTGTATATATATAGATTATAAAGGCGAATGTGTATATGTCAAAATTGTATTTGTTTTCTGTTGAATTACTTTTAAAAGGTTGAGTGATTTTTAAGTCATAATTTCACATCAGTCATGGTCATCATACCCTAACAAATATTTAGAACTGTCGTGGATGAATTTTATATTTTATTGTAAACTGCATCCTTCATTTTAGTTAAATCATGACATTCTTCTTTTCTTAGCATAACCATCTGTAGTTGGTCGAGGGTTGGTAGCGTTCCTTTATTTTCTATTGCCTGGTATCTCGACTATTGTGACTACCATGCAACGGTCAATATATAAATTTGGACTGCTGGTAAACAGGTGTCTCACTATTCAATAAATATACAGCTTAACTGCCGCCGTCGTCTTGTTTTATATGTAACGATATATAAGAGGGGATAGCCTAACTAGTTGTATAAGTGACGATTTGGCGTTTCAATAAATACAAAGTCGTATCTCGAACTTAATATGTGCAATTTAATAAGTTAGACTGACGAGATATTCAGCATTACATATTTATATTATTTATATAATCAGCAAGTTTCACAAATGATTAGTATAACGAGACTTATGGCTATAACTTTATACAGGAACAATATAAAAACTGGTTACTTCTCTGGTACCTGTACTAGTTACATTAAAAAAAAGGGGGGGGGGGGGGGGCTGTTGTAGCTCTGGTTCAGATATGGGCAAGTGGACTGGATTGATTGATTGATTGTTGTTTGCTTTACGCCGCATTAGCACAGAAAGACTATATCGCGGCGAGAGCTAATTCGAATATTATAACAGTTTAAGGTATATTTTTAAAATCAGACAAAAGGTCTTTCAATAAACTAAAATTCTAGACTAAAGCAAATTGATTATTTACAAATAAAAAAGATAATGTGATAAAAATTAAAATCGTTTTAAATATAACAACGTTTTTTATATTTTATAATATATTCCAATTTCTTTTAAGAATGAAACAATATTTGTAAATGGAACAGTATTAAATAAATCATACATATTATTGACATTGAAATGCTTCCTACGAATATCAGCAAAGTCAATACAATTAATTAAAACATGTTTAATAGTATACTTGCAGTTGCAAGGTATACATTGTGGTTCTTCTTAATTTTTTAAAAGATACTCGTGTGTCACTCTAGTTTGACCAATTCGGCATCTAGAAATAACACACTGATCTTTTCTGCACATTAAATGATTAAAAGGTTTACCTAAATTAGGAATAATTTCATGTAATTTGTTACCATCTCTCTTACTCCATTCATTTTTCAAAATATTAAAAACATATTCTCTAATATTCTCTAGTTTATTGAAGGACCTTTTGTCTGATTTTAAACTTTAAATTGTAAAAAAAATATTCGAATTAGCTCTCGCCGCGAAATAGCCTTGTTGTGCTAATGCGGCGTAAAGCAACCAACAATCAATCAATCAATCGGTTATTCGGTCAAGATGTATCTGCCCTGAAATTTTCTTGTTTTTATTATTGAATTACCTTAAGCTTGACTTGATTACAATCACAATTCTACAAACTTCTGTAGTGTGATTCTGAAGCACTGCTAAAGTGTCATGTCTTCTATTCATCTTGCATATATACATATCAGTATATATTTCCCTCAAATTCAGATTTTATTTTCTGGAATAATTAATTATATTCAAATACATGTTAAGAGCCAATCTGCCAGAAAACCATGCAAAACCGTCCGAATGTCACTTTTTCCAAATGAGTTCATATTTGGCATATTGGTGCACCTTAGTAATGTAAATGACCACACAAATGTTTTTGGGAAAATATTGAACCGATCTGGATATTTTTTTAGCGCCATGTTTTAACAGATGAAATTGCTCGAAAACAGCAAAAATAAGCCTTTTTTGGCATATTTCGCTGGTTTAAATAAAAAAATATGGTAACATTTATAATTTTTTGATAGTTGTTCCTAGTAATACATCACTTTAAGTGTAAGATTGATTGATTGATTGTTGGTTGCTTAACGTCCAGTGGCAAATATTTCATGCATATTCAGGACGAGAACAAATTAACAATAAATACAATAGGTAGGTTCTGTAATAGGGGCGTCCGGGATTAAGGTCGGAGAAATTTAGACTGCCACGGGAAATGAGGATATATTGGATAGGGACAGAAATTTAGCCTTGCAACAGGTCACCTACGGACCCCTCAAAGAGTTGTTGCAAGGGTTCTTAACGTGCAAAGAGCGTGGCACTCTCTTTACACGAGGCATCGGATTTAACGTCCCCATTCTGACCGGACGTGGCTGCAAATTTGTACATCCCGCACAGCTAAACGGACGCCCCACTTTAGCACGGGTTTTACTGCCGGTCGGAGGAAGACCAATGGTGACCATACTTCTATTCCCCAGTCACCCTTGGGGGGGGGGGGGGGGGGGGTTAAGTGTAAGAATGCATAGAATTAACAATGCTGTCTATTAAGTGTATGTATAGTCTAACTGTTTCAATATGTCTTATTTAGCTACATGTCCAAAATGGCTGATTTTGGTCATCTTTCAGAGCCAAAATACTCCAAGACCCGTTTATTATTGTAAAACAACATATCTTCTTGCAAAGTATAACTATATATACCCAACCAAAAAAAATATCAAGCTCGGCAAATAATGTTGGTGTCTGGTATATGCCACAACAAAATGGGGTAACCTGCATATTCAAATTTTCTCAATTTTGCCGTCTAATTTGTAACTACTGACATATGATAGGATCTGGACTTATAAATAAGTATAACAACAAATGGAAAAGAATAATTAATGTTTCATTTAATACATTAAGAAAATAATCATACATAAATACAAATTATTCATTATAAATCTAGAGGCTCCCAGGAGCCGAAATAGATCGTATTGACAAATTGTGCACCTAAAACGATAAAAAACACATATTTCAAACTCAATCAATTTCAATTAGAAGTTAAACAATTCAGAATTAGTTCAGACTGTAAAAAAAAAAGTTTCTTCTGACCACTTTTGCAATTTATTCTTATAATATATTGATATAGTTGTCGGATAGTAGCAGAAAACTGTGAAAATTTGTAAATTTACACATTTCAGGGACAATAGCTCATAGATGTTATGTCCAATTTTTCAGAAAAATTTTAGGTATTTAGATCTTGTCATGTTGATAGTTTTAATCAATATATATATATATATATATATATTGAAAAGTTTTTAAATTTTGTATACATATATATATGTATGACACTTCTTCTAAAGTTATTAAGATGATGGTTTAAAAGTGAAAACTGTAAACAGATTATTTTAACAGACACTTAGTGATGGAAATTTTTTTGTGACCATTTGAGCCTAGTATGCTAACAAGGCAAGATTTGCCAGGTACCTATATCTATGTTGCTGCAATGTAGTCAATACAAACATGAAAATCATAAATGCTTCTAAAAAAAAATCCCATAACTAGACGAAAAACAAATTACTTAGTCTATATATACCAGTGCAAAATTTAAAGAATTTTGAATGAAATTGGATAGCTGTTAAGATTACTGTACCTATAATGCTCTACATCACATCCTCGGAGATATAACATAATTGAAATAAGTCATATGAATCTTCAAATTTCAATAAAGTTGAATGTGTTTTTTTATACTTGAACGGCTATTGGTTTTACTATAAAACAAGTGTACATTAACTTTCTTGTAAAAGAAAAACCATAACATTAAAATCTCCATAAATGATGAACTGTTATTTTTTGAGACATCATCCCATGGAAGATTTAACTGATGTTTTAAAGTTGGAAAGTTTCTGTTGCTTGTTTGGTTGGTTGAAATTGTTTCTGTTAGAAGCATTATCAGTCTCCCAATCTGATGTTGACTGCTGTGAAAGTTCAGTTGTTGTTGACACTGACAGAAAGGTTAGCTGCGAGTCTAGATCTGAAAACCACAAAACATACATACATAAATCAGGCTGTTAGTTTTTATATTTTTTCATTTTCTTATTTTGGGGCCTTTTATGGCTGAATATATATGCAGTATAGGTCTTGCTCATTGTTGAAGGCCATATGGCGTATGAAGACCTATAGCTTTACTTCTATGTCATTTGTTCTCATTGGCAATCATACCACATTTTTTTTTAATTTCATATATACCACTGACAGGAAATAAAATTTACAACTTTTACTGTAAGTGGATGCAGTTACAAAATTCTCCCAACTAAAGCCAAATCATTTTTGCAGAATACTTATTATCCACTCCTTTTAAGCATGTCCAAATAGCCCTTAACATCTTTACAACAATACAAAATTGCCTCCATTTGGTTTGGCATTTCAAATTACCTCTCAATATAATTTTACATTGAAAACAGACAATGGTGATAATTTGACCGCTTTTAGTTACAATCTTTGAAATGGTGGCCATCTTTATATCTGTTCTCTGTGTCAAAGTACAGCTAAATATCAATATTCTTTAAAATCAAACTCTACAAAATTGAAAATTTTACCCTTTATTTGCTGTGTCCATCTCTAAAAAAAAATTTCATTGTTTTGTTGGCATGTCAAAAGTGCTATAATTCCTTAATGTCAATTTTCATATAGGGCCATCTTGAAAATGTTTGCCATTTTGGAAGAAAAAACAACCTTACTTTGTTTAGCAAGTCAAACTACCACGACTATCCCTAATAAACAAATTTCATTAAATTAACCAGTGTTGAAATTTGTGCCATCCTTGGTGGCCATCTTGAAAATGTTTGACATCAGATAATTATCCACATATTGTGCTTTTCTTTTCACTAAATTTTCATTTAAAAAGATAACACCAGTTATCTCAGAAAAGGACACATTTTGTGGAAGATGAAGAAAAAATGCAAGTTTGAACAGAACATTCAAGCTATAACAGCTCTAAATTTGTAATAGGATTAAATATTTGACAAAGAATAGGTTTCTAACACAGAATAAATATGGTATAAAGATAAAGTTTAATAGATTCAGCATATCAGAGAACCCCAAGATCAAATCCACTTAATTAAGATTTAAAATTTAGTTTAATTTGGACCCTTTGGACCTCAATGTAAACCAATTTCATGATAGGGCCCAAAAACTAAATACAGGTTAGATTCAGGCTGAATCAGCATCTTTAAAATTATTGTTGAAATCAAACACAGTTAAATTATGGACCCCATTTGAACCAACTTGAAAACTGGGACCAAAATCATAAATCTAAGTACATATTTATATTCAGGATATTTGATTATTTCTATTTATCATTCAAAGAACCCTAATTCATTGTAATTAGAGTTCAAGTTTTGTTAAAATTAACTAAGTTAAAATTTGGACCCTTTGGACTTTAAAATATGGACAAACTTGAAAACCGGACCAAAATTAAAAATCTAAATATAAAACATTTGCATTTTGTATATCAAAAGAACCTCAAGAATTCAAGTTGTGTAGAAATAAGAAAAAAAAATTTTGGACCATTTTGAAATCAATGTGAACCAATTTAAAATGGGGCCCAATTGCAACATCTTAAATTATTTAAATACATTGTTAGATTTAGCATATTAAGAACCCAAATAATGTATTTATTTTAATTTGTTCTCGTCCTAAACATGCAAGAACTATTTGCCATTGGACATTAGCATTACCAACAACCAATCAATTAATCGAACAGGTGAAATATCTTCAAAAGTACCAATAAAAATCTCCCCCTTTTATATTTGAAAAAGTAAAATCACAAAAATACTGAACTCCGAGGAAAATTCAAAAAGGAAAGTCCCCAATCAAATGGCAAAATCAAAAGTTCAAACACATCAAACGAATGGATAACAACTGTCATATTCCTGACTTGGTACAGGCATTTTCTTATGTAGAGAATGGTGGATTGAACCTGGTTTTATAGTTGGATAATAAACCTCTCACTTGTATGACAGTCGCATCAAATTCCATTATATTGACAACGATGCGTGAACAAAACAAACAGACACAATAGGTAAAATTGTCAGAAATAGGGGTACAGCAGTCAACATTGTGTTATCATCTTAATGACTATAAAAACAAACAAATGTAACGAAGAAGCACAAAAAGGCATACATCAAATTTAACATCCTCATTTTGCTTATATTATACGATTTTATATATCTATGTAAAATCCACCCATAAAGGATGGAAGGTTTTAAGTACTGGCGTAAAATCGCGCGTTTGAAATTTCGCACAGGTAGACATAAAATAATTTTGTCGTTCAAAGTATGACGGGATACATAAATACAGAGTCACGTAAAATGGATATCACAAAAAACAGACTTAACAGTAAAAGCAATACGTATTAATAAATAAAATAATTGAAATGGAATGTATGAACATTTCATTAGTCATTGTTAGTTAGTGAATGGAAACTATAGGAGCCGCCCAATATAGTAGTACAAATTAAAATTTGCAAAGTGATTTTTCAATGGGAAAACCCAAGTTAACAAAGACCTGTTTAATAAAACTGATGTACAAATGTATAACATGTAATTGTATAATTATGTTATTATATAAGTGATTACATATACTTTGTATGATTACCATGTTATACAAACAACTTACCAATATCTTCTTCTATACATGTATTTAGTTTGACCTGGCTATTGTCACTTTTACAAAAATTCATCTTAATTGAGCATTGCTTGCATATATATAGCCCTACAAATAAAAAGTGTTAAACTATAAAATAATTCTTCAATTTTGTTTTACATGAAATAAAATATATCAGACAGGAAATGTAGGGTAGTGTAGCATCACTGTGCATGTAGTTTAAATGTATGTTTTTTTTTTAAAAAGGGCTCTATAAGTAATCTACATACATGTGCATGTAGGGTTCTAAAATTAACTTTACAAAAGTTTGCAATGCTTTTGATTTTTTTAGTCTCCATGGCCTATTAGTTCATTAAAAAAATATTATTCTCTGGAAAAAGTTGTCTAGTGTTACATGTACAGTATGTTGTATGTAAAACATGTATTTGTAGGAGGCTTTTCCACGAGATAAAAGTTTTTTTAGTAGACAAAGAGCTGAACAACTTCCAGTAAGAACTGAAAATATAACTTAGGGGAAGAGAATAAAAACCTGACCTGCTAAACGTTGAATATGTTGAAATAGATTTTGATTATTATCATGATTCTGGTCTATAAATTGATTTTTTAAAGCAGAAAATAAATATATATTGTACCCTGGTTAATAGCTTGAAAATTAAAATTCTGTCCTAAGCTGACAAGGACATAAATATTTTGACCATTCTAACCCTCCCCCTTGCTTTTTTAATCAAATGGTTCCAAGACAGAACAATATATATACGGATATATATTATTTGCTTGCACTTTGCCATAGGAAATAAATAAGATGTCTTAGAAACAGGTCAGGTGTAAAAGAATATTCACATGCCCCTTCAACACCCACCCCTCCCCCCCTTTTTTTAATCTAGCTAATGTATCAATTGTTGGTCCCCTAATTTCAGATTGACTATATGGAACAAATGAAAATTGATTGTAAGATTTGTACCTGTTCCTACTGGAATAACTCGTCCTGTATACAGCCTGTTTTGAAAGGGTGAAGATCCTTGGTCAGCTTTGGCTTTGCTGGAAGAGGGTTTGACGAGATGTTGACATCTTGCTTGACTATCATGTCAATGAATTCCATAAAAGTCCCTGTACTTCGAGCATATTCAAAGACAAGATGATGTAACAACCATGGGAAAATAAACCACTCCTTGTCTTATATAAAATAAGGAATCCTGTTGGAAATTCTACACCAGAGTTTTCAGTATTATTCAGACTTCCTAAATGTAGATGAATGGTAGTCTGTATCTGTATGAATATGTTTGGTTACCAATGCTGGTTTCAATACCACGGTAGAGAGAGTGTCGTTGATTTATTGATGGTGCGCCAGAGCATTTTTGACACTCTCAATCTCAATTTTGGTGCGAGCAAGGTGGTTCCACTCGCTCACTTTGTTTTTACGAAGAATGATTTAGAATACTTTTGTTTTGCTCATTGAAATCTAAAAACACTTTTTGCTGTTCATGGACTTATTTTTCCAATCAATATTTATCATGTTTATTCACTAAATTATTGTCATGATTGTCAAATTTTTTGGCAGTAATTATTTTTTTTGGAAATGCTATTTTGGTCTTTAGTGCATTCAGATATCTTAAATAGTTTGTAATATGTAGATGTATAAGGCTGGGATAGCCCACATGCTCATCCTAGATTATTAAAGTCACAAACTTCACTGTAAACATTTGTCTGCCAAACCATCACTGGGAGCTGACATGTTTTGAGATCTTACCCAAGGGAGATAAGTCAATGGAAGAGCATAAAAGATGGACTCCCTGGTTTCAGACACTTTATTGATTTTTGGACTTACAATACAAATACGTCTTATTTCATTTTTCAGACAAATTGATTTTACTTGTTCGAATGATTTTATGAGCCATTTTAGTACCAATTGTGTTTAGAATTTAATTAAAATCAAAATCAAAATGTGTCAATTTGGGACTAAAATCACCATTCTTCCAAGGCATAAATTAACATATAATAGTGATTTGCCAAGCTTAATATTTTGTTTTGATAGAAAACATACCCCATAGTTAAAACCGATATAAGTTGCAAACAAATCCGAAATGGGTCTTGCAAGATAGAGGCGAATGAAAACCCCGTAAATTCATGTATGAAAAACCCCGCCTTTGTGTCCCTGCTCCTGGCAATGTGCCAAATCGTTTAAATTTTCATTTGTATTGATCATAACATAGTAAATTGGATGAGTTTCAGCTGACATTACTCTAAAAACTCAACTACCCCATTTAATATGCTTCTGGGTCATTCTTAAAAGGCATAAAAAAGTTGGATTTTTCCTTGGTTTCATTATGAATTTACAGAATTATGCAAATGAGGCTGTTACTAAAAATAGATACGATTCTGGGAAAAATTAAGGTGTCAAATTCTTTTATTTTATGTCAAGGATTAAGATGATGTATAAAAATTTGTCAAGTTATGATTGTCGATTTGGACGATTTTCTGAATAATGCATGGTTTTCTGGCGGATTGGCTCTTAATTAACATGAAATGTAGTACACATATTATGCCTCCTTCTACTGACTGAAAAACAAATGTCACATACTCATCTTTAGTATAGTAATGTTAATATCATTTAAGATTGGCATCATTGCACATGGATTTTATGCTGAGTGACTTAAATATTTTTTGTCTATATGTATAAAACTTTTTTTTTGTTCTCTCTTTATTTTACATTCCTTTTGTTGTGTGATATTAAATTAAGAGACTTAATTGACTAGGATTGTTAGTGTTCTAAGTTCTCTCCAGCATCCTCCACTAATAAAAACAGGACGCCACGAAATAGCACCATAGTGTTAAAAGTGGTACCAATCATTCAATATCTCAATTACTTTTTAGTATGAGGAAATAAAGAAATCAATGAATCAATAACCATTAGTTGTTTTATTTAGCATTAACAGTAAAAAAAATTTGTATAATGATACCGTTTTTCTTTTGGTCGATTTAAGTTAACATATAATTCTTTGATCCATAAAGTAGTAACATATACTGAAAAATGTGAAATTCTCAATAAAGATGAGGTTGGTTCAAGGTTACATCGAATACAACTGTCAATACACATTGGTTGAATTCATTTTTAATATATAGTAAAATAATCAATATAGAAAGAGACCGAATTAAGATTACATCTGATACAGATTTTTGGTAAATTTAAGGTAACTTCTTATTCAATTAACCATGCATTTGCGTGGCCAGGCAACAGGAACAATGTCTGAAGCAGTCTTCACCAGGGCTTTAGAGATTGTGCAAAGCAAATGTGAACCTGAACAAAAAATTCATCCTCATTGTTTTCATGGCAGTACAACACAAATGGACACTTGGCATCGAGTATTTCCTACTACATATTTCAGTTTTTTACTAAAGGGAAAGAACTTCTACGAGGATCGGTGATGATGTCGACGATTACCACACTGACATTATATCAAGGCTTTGCACATATGTTTTTTAAGGATCTTGATTCTCTATTGGCCGTGGTGTTTAGGAGGGATTGGCATTAAGTGAAGAGGGATATTTTGCGAACAATAATATTCCTGTTTAATTTTCCAGCTTATGAACATGTGTTTTAAGTGGCAATGCCAACCATAAATTATTTCCATGCATGTTACACACCTGTTTCCCTAATTTTATTTGAATGTTAATTATATAATCTTAATTTGTCAAATAAGTAACATTATACTTGTGACATAAACAAAAGTAACAACAACAATACAATAACTGAGTTGATTGATTGATTGTTGGTTGCTTAACGTCCAGTGGCAAATATTTCATGCATATTCAGGACGAGAACAAATTAACAATAAGTACAATAGGTAGGTTCTGTAAGAGGGGCGTCCGGGATTAAGGTCGGAGAAATTTAGACTGCCACGGAAATGAGGGTATATCGGATAGGGACAGAAATTTAGCCTTGCAACAGGTCACCTACGGACCCCTCAAAGAGTTGTTGCAAGGGTTCTTAACGTGCAAAGAGCGTGGCACTCTTTACACGAGGCATCGGATTTAACGTCCCCATTCTGACCGGACGTGGCTGCAAATTTGTACATCCCGCACAGCCAAACGGACGCCCCACTTTAGCAAGTGTTTTACTGCCGGTCGGAGGAAGACCAATGGTGACCATACTTCTATTCCCCAGTCACCCTTGGGGGCATATAACTGAGTTGAACACACACACATATCTATATTTATATACAAGTAAAACTAACTAAGGGTCCCCTGTCCTCAGCTTTAAAGACTGTTTTATAAAGGAACCTGTATTTTTCACTTGGTTTATATTAAAAGGATTCAGTAGGATTACTAGTTTTTCAGTATCAGATAGATTTGGAAACATAGGATTATCCATTGCCATTTCATTAAAAAGTTTTATACGTAAAACATTATTAATTTGACAGTAGAGGAGAAAGTGATTTTCATCTTCTAAGGTTTTACAAGTTGGACATGTTCTATTGTCTCGAGGTATTTTTAGATATCTGCCCTTTTCATAGTCCCTCCTCCCCATCATTATTATACAAATCTATTGGTTAGAAAATCTATGATATGGTGGTGTTTATAATAATAATGATGAATGTAGAAATTGACAAATTCCTGTAACCTGTTTACACAAACATCGACATAAAAGATATTTATTTATCATATTCATAAACGAAAAAATAGTTTTTGTATTCTTTTCAGGAATTTGTAATGCATGCAGGCGAAAGCATTTACCAACATCTGAAGAAAACAAATAATTCACACCGAAAGATATAGGTTAGTTTTTTGATTGATTATTGCAACATAATTTTATATTTATATTTAATCTACTATGATGTAGGGAGGAATAAGTTGATAGCTAATGTTGAATATAAGCATAAAACTTTTTTTTTAAATATTGCTGTTTAGTAAAGCAGCTGTCAACAGTACCACAATTAAATCAGAAACATATATGTCTCTTGATTGAATTTATTATTATATAATTTATTTCGATTGCAATTTCGGTTTTGATAGTAACGCAAGGGAAACAATCCAATGAACATTTCATGCACATTACAAACTCTTGTATTAGTTAAATTCTTATTTAACCTTCCTATCGGATGCAACATATTATGTACATGTACAGTTGTATTGTTGTTTTTTCAAACTTATCAACAGAAGAAAAACCCTGAAAGTTAAAAAGATTGACCCAAAAGCGGAGGAATGGATCATGTAGACGTTTCTGATCCGAGAATATTTCGTAAGAAGATTCCGATTCGGAGGATGACTCAGTTATTGTAACACGTCCTCTGTCGTGGGTGTCCTTAGAATTTAGGCAGCTCATTCAAAGATTAGGCAGAAAGTATTGCCGAATGCTTCATGCTCAGGGGAAGCGGTTGAAATCAAAGAGGACAATCGGACTGCCATGGCAGCTTTATGTGTTTTTCACGCCGTTCTATTTAAACTTGTCGTTTGACTACCTCTTGTGCATTTTCAACCAACATTGATTCAAAAGCAAGCAGTACATCATCACCAATCAGTCCAACCTGCCCACCAACAATAGCAAGTCTTTCAACAAAAACCAAAAGCCGAAGTGGGGCGTCCGTTTGGCTGAGCGGGATGTATCAAGTTCGCAGTTGCGTCCGGTCATAATGGGGACTTAAAATCCTATGCCTCGTGTAAAGAGAGTGCCACGCCCTTTGAACGTTAGGAACCCTTGCAACAATTCTTTCAGGGGTCCGTAGGTGGCCTGTTGCAAGGCAAACTTTCTGTCTCTATCCAACATACCAGTGGCAGTCCAAATTTACCCGACCATCATCCCGAATTGCCTCTATTGTGACAAGACCTACCTATTGTATTTATTGTAAAATTAATCTCGTACTGAACATGCATGAAATATTTGCCACTGTACGTGAAGTAACCAACAATCATTTAACATCTATCTGTTAGATGAACTGTTTTGATGTGGTGTGCTAATATTCTATCCATAATCTAAATTATGTCGTCAATATGTTTTAGTATGTATATTAAATATAAGTGAAGGAACTTGTTCCTCATAAATACGGTACAAGAGCGCATTTATTTGTTTACATTCAAACAGCAAAAAATGTATCCAAGATAGTACTCTGAATAAAAAAAACAACTTTGAGGCTTCTAATAGGATGATGCAGGATGGAATTATTTATTATTTTAAAGCTTATCCGTTTAGGTTCGAAAAAGGGGGAATCAAATTCTTAATTCACAATGGGTAAAAGATATAGTTTTTCATAAACTGAGGAGCTATTCAAAATTAACCTTTCCAATTAAGTGCGGAATTTGGGACCGTCCATTATATTATTTTTTTGCATCTTCATTTAACGAATGATTATGACAACTGTTACGACCGGGCGGTAAGGTGTGAAATTGTAACCGATATTTTCAAAGCTACACATAAATTTATCGAATGTAGGACAGAAAGTCACAGGACAAAAAGTCGCAATTCATTCATAAAAAACGCTTATTTCTACAAAAATACTTTTGTATTTCTCTGGAACTATTGTATACAATATAACTTTGTTAACAAAATTTATCAAAAAAATATCAAAGTAAATCAAATAATTGTTAAAAAAACAAAATGCCAAAGTGGCTTGGCACTTAAATGACTTCATTGTGCCAACAAATCTTTCTTTTGCATGATTAAAATTAAATAAATCTTCATTTTTCAAGTATAATGACACAATTTCTAAACTTTTATATGAATATATGTATTTAAGGTTCCACTAAAGTCAAAATATAGGACACTTCATAAACATCTAAACTTTGCCTGTATTTTTCAACCTAT